AATCCATTAGAAATCGAGTAATATTTATGGCCAGTGGACAAAAATCTTGTACTACGACGCCATACGCTTTCACGCTTAAAACTAGACATCATGAGCCATACCTTAACGGTATTTACCAAATAATATAAACTCCACAATCCTTAAATTGCTTTAACCGCCTTGAGTTTCCTCCTGTGGAATGGGTAAGGTCATAAGAGGTGGCAGCCATCGTTTCCCAGAAACATGGCTGCCCACTTCTTATGAGCTCAACTCATTCACGGGAAGGAAACTCTCAAGGCTTGCCAAGCCATTTTAAGATTGTGAGTTGTATATTATTTGGTGATATACCGTTAAGGTATGGCTCATGAATGTCTAGTTTAAGCGTGAAAGCGTCTGATGGACGTCCCGCTTAGTACAGATTTTTGTCCACTGGCCATAAATATTACTCGATTTTCTAATGGATTTCGTCTAAAAACGTCACAGTATCTCGAGGAAAAAAAAACAAAATTGTAAAATTATGGGTGTTTGTTGTTTGTCCTTCCAAGTTCCCAGTCTACTGAAGATGTTGTTGTGAGAAGTTATGTAACTATAGGTCATGGTGAGCTGCCCAATTCATGATCTACGGTTTGTGTAAAAAAATATCTGTATTACCACTATCTATTTCTTCGTAATGTCACCCCACGCCATCATTCCCCGGTGCTTGTTTATGTGGGCATTCCTTTTAACTTACAGTGTTTGTAAATAATGTTACAATCATTTCCCACTTACCTTGTCCTGGAGTTCGTGATCCAGTCATTAAATGAGCGAAAAAACAGTCTGCCAAAGCACGACCTTTTAATAAAGTAGATCAAGAACACACTCAGCAGTCAGTTGGATAATTATCTTTGAGAGGTTTAGTGATAAGAAAATGATACATTTCACTCTGTGCAACAAGCGCCCTTACCATCTGCGGAGCTCCAAAAGTATCAGCGTTCCCTTTTCACCATCTACAGAGAGACAATAAACACATTTAATATATGAACAAACCTCTTATAAAACCGCTTTGTAAAACGTAACAGTATACAAGCTAACAACATCACTCAAAGTAGAACACGAAAATTACAGGCAGCTCTTACAAAATTGTAATAATACTGACAAAGGACGTAATTATGTTTATTTTCGATATTGTAACAAATAAAGAAGCCAAAACCAGGTATGATACTGTCATAACAACACGGACGGGAATTTGGAGAACACGAGAGAAATTTAGAAAACACTGCAGCCGCAGGCGAGTGTTTTCTAAATTTTCTCAAGTGGTTCTCAAATTCCCGTCGGTGTTTTATGACAGTATAATACATGGTTTTGGCCTTCTTTATTTGCTTTAAAATATAGATTTAAAAACGCGCGCGACAACGATAAAACCACTGCTTTTCTAATGATTTATACTCTGATAAAACATGGTTTTTTTAACCAATCAGAGCGCGCGCATTTTCCAGTCTATGTTTTCAATATTAAAATAAATCTGCACGCTACCTCAGCCATAAGTAAAGAATGAATACAAATACCCAAATAATAATGAAAGGAAAAAGTACAAAGGGTTGCTATTCCAATCCAGAAAATCGCGTCCTAGACAGTCTGCAATGTGATACCTAACAAATAGTTAGTGAAGAGTAGAGTACTTAACTTGCTTACTTCAATTGCTGAAAAATACCATTTCTTAAAAATCTACCCACAGTTTGCTACGTTCTGACTAATGTAAGCACTTTTCGTCGCCTAAGATAGAATTTTCTCTCTGACTTACCTTATGTACAATGTAGGTTTTGTATCCTAACTTACATGTAACTTGAGGGCTAACACTCAGCCGAACTTTCACATACTCCCGCCCATAGGAGTTTTATGCAGCAATCTTACCATTTATTATATTAAATTTTAAGTTTTTGTACTTATACAATACATTTATAGCGCTTCAATACATTAGTCTCAGTCTCTCCACAAATGAATGATCTGATAACATCAATTGCCAAATATAAAATGAATATAACATAAATTATTTCTAATAATTAAGCTTCCTCTACTCACCGGTTTGCCAACACAAATCTAGAAGTTAAACAAGAAATCCAATTCATTAAACAAACAATTGTTCCATTTTTTTTTCCCAATTATAGACATGTATTTGTAAGGGCATGCCCAGAAAGCTTGGCACAACAATGTTGTACGTGTCAATAAAAAACACTGTTAGCGTGATATTATATATCTCATGACACTACCGATACATGTAAGTGAATGCATTTGTTTTTCACGAGAAACCATTTTGGGATTTACACAGCTCAATAATCCCATCACAAAAGTGTGACAGCCTTGTATGGGATTGAAATTAGTGATTTTGGGGGGTTACAAAATTTTCTGGCAAGATTTTTTTGGGGTAGAAGATTTTGGCAGGGACTTTTTTTCACTAGCTACAGCCATGGTGTAATTTTGCTGACCTGTTTGCCGGATTCCTGAATTCTTCTCTTAGTTTCCAGTTGTTTTTGGAAGGACTTCCTGGTCCCCAGACTAAAATCAGCTTGAGGTCTGTACTTCATTCCCTCAGTAAAAATGGCCCGGTAGAACAATAACAACAGTGTGTGAAAATCCCATTACACTATTTCTCATTTTGTTGACAAACGCTATGCTCTTGATATGGCATGGCGTGAACAGGGAGAGGGCCACAACTGGACTGACAGCGAGTTCAGTACTCAGGTCCTTGGCTGGCATGCATGGCCACTTAATTTCATGGGAGGTGACAGTTATAAGTCAGACATGGTGGAAGTCTTCACAAAGTCCTAGTGGCCGTCACAACTGCTGGAGCTTATATACACGCTTGTGTGGCATGAAGCGCCTAGGAGTATTCCTCTGGATGGGCTGCTAGTTGCATTGTCAGGTTATCGATATATATCCTCCAGGCATTTTTTGTCGACGGTCCCATTTATAACTCCCTGGGTGGCGAGAGAGCACTGTGAGAGTAAAGTGTCTTGCCCATGAACAACAACACCACTGACCTGCCGGCCAGCGCCTCACAACCCGGACCGCTCGCGTCCCCGAGTCAATGCGCAAACGCATTAGGCCCACTGCATCTCTCTCCAGTTGTAGACATAACAACTACAGTCTAGCACCTCCACTAATTAAAGAGGTGGCATTATAGAAGAGCGTGGCCATATATTTATTATTATGGCGCACCTCTCTACACTACAACAGCCAGGATTTTCGTCTCAACCGTGAGCCAGATCTACTTATACTTTACGGTTATTGAAAACCTCCCGACAACGCCCACCTCTCTACAAACAGCCAGATAATTCTGCCCAGCGTGCAGTGGTGGCCGCTTGGTGGCGAGGTTCAACTGATGACAAATTGCCAGACAAATAGAAGTTATAAACTCCTGCAGCTGTAATCTATTGACTGATGAAAGATGTACATATATTTGAAAAGCAGAGGCGAGGATAAAAATTAGAAATGCTTCGTTGACTCTTGCTGGGCGAAGTGACGAATCACAAGGAAGCAAGACATCAGATCAACACAAAATTTGGCTACTGAATTTATGTAAACATCACGACAACCTTACCTTTGACCAACAAATGGACAAAGTTGTAATGTACAGCAAGAAATGACTGACTTGTTCTCGCATTGCCAGCATGTAGTTTTTCCATGCTTAAATGCCCCCCCCCCCCTATGATGGATATCTGAATAACATTGTAATGAAGGTTAATCACAATTCTGACTAGAAAGGATTCCTTTCTAGCGTCAATTTTATAACGGCAGAACGTGTGCCTAAATTAGAAAACATAATTTTATTAACCCTTTCACTCCCCGAGTCACACTGTGTTCTAATTTTGGAGTCTGTGGATGGAAACCCTAGTGTGTGTGACCATTCAAATGAATAGCTATGAGCAGCACTATTCATGTGGTACTGTTTGTTTTTGACAATTTCGACAAAAACTCAAAATGATTTTCCTTAGTTTTGAACTTAGGCACTCTGGGAGTGAAAGGGTTAAGACCCTACCCAAGTTTCCGACCCCCAGTTCCTCCTTATGCACACACATTTGAATGAACCTTTTGAACTTCTAGTAGTCGCCTTTTGAACATACTCTAGCCCACTGCAGATTTGTTATATCTGCTCTGGAAACAAAACCGATCAACACACATATCAGGCCCAGGGGGGACTACAAGTGACGGGTAGTCATCATATCCTTTAGGAGTTAGCACTGCTTACATGTAGCTTATCCTGGTACCTTTTCGGGTATTCAACGGATTGCGGAACTAGACAGTTTGTTTTAGGCATTGGTGCCTCTTTGAGGGTGAAAATGGAATTTGAACCAGCACACCCACAAAAAAAAAAACAAATTTTCAGAACGATCACCCTCGCTACTTTTATATGGGATTCCGCCACCACCCCCTACCCCCCAGGATATCAGGTATTATCAGGGGAACTGTTAAAATCTGGATACAAAGGGCTAGAAGAGAACATTTAGCAAATCAAGTTCTACACTGAACACATACTGGCAGTAAATCCTTTGAATTTGATGTTGAGACTTTGAGATCGCATATCCCTCCCTGCCACGGACAAAGGTTTATTGGTTTGAGCCCCCCACCCCTCTGGAAATTCCAGTTAGATCTCGTCCTCCCCTCAGAATTTCCAAATGACCTTCCTTGTGGGGGGGTATCGGTATCTCGACATTAAAAAAAAACGTTCTCAAAATGAGCACTAAAGTATCCTGTTTTGATTAACAAAAACCTTTTTGATTAAAAAAAAAACTTTTTGATTTATAACACTTACAGTGTACCTACCTCTGATATTCTCAGTGGCGTTTGGGAATAATGCTCGTATTTCCACCAACAGCTTAAAGAAATGGATCAGCAATTCTTGCGACAACGAATCAGGCCTAAAATGAATGATATGATTGAAGACAAACAACAATGACACCCCCCCCCCCCCCCCCGGCTAGGTTCCCCATACTGCAAGGAAAACCATCATGCGGTAAGAAATTAAAGTGAATGCTTATACCTGGGACCAAGCGGTGGCCTAATTGGTTAGTCGTGTTGGACTCTGGATTGAGCGGTCCCGGGTTCAATCGCTGGCTGGGTCATTTTGTTGTGTTCTTGGCAAAGACACTTAACTCTCACGAGTGCCGCGCTCTCTCCCACCCAGGAGTGTAAAATAAAACTGGGTATCAGGCCAACAAAATGCTGGGGGTAACACCTAGGATGGACTAGCATCGAATCCTAGGGAGGAGTAGCAATACTTCTAGTGCGGCTTCATGCTACGGAACTGCGGATACGCTCCAGCAGTTGTGCGGACAGTTGTTGCCCGAGTTGCGGCTTTCCTGATGTACCCAAAACCCCTGACCAAAACAAAAAAAAGGGCGACTTTGATGACAAGATATACAGTTTCAATATATTATCTTTTATTTGCAACAATATTCTAGAGCAAGCACATCTCACTTCATCCTACTCCACTCCCAGTGGACATAACGCCGCAAGCACATACCTGACCATAAATACAAGACACTGAAAATATTGCAGTGGAACGAAAATATACCATACCCACCACAAAAGGAAGGGTCATAGGATAGTTCTGAGGTGTGGAGGGGGGTCTCAAAGGCCAAAATGTTGAAAAGAAAGTATGAGCTAAACTAGAAATTCCAGTTGGTGGGTGGGGGTGGGTTCAAAGCAAACAAAATTATGTGGGGGGGGGGGGGGCGGGGGGGGGTGGTGTATGGCATTTTTTCGGAGAACCACACAATGTCACTTACATGTTCTACTTTTGATGGAATTGCAACTCACATTTGAGAATGTAGGCTCTTGTGGTTAAACAAAGTGTCGTAATCCACACAGAGTTCCAGGAACGACGTATAACAATACCACAAACACAAATTGACTGCAAGGAAAATAATGTGAATTAAGAAACGTTACATTTTTAGGAACTCTACCAAATTGCTTCCTTTCCCTGGGGGACTGTTTATGTCAACTTAACATTTAATCCTAAGTTCTTTGGCCAAAAAATTCACAAGTGGTAATATGCAAAATGTGATATACCTTCACAAAACTTGTCTGAAATGATTAGAATGTTGATCGGTCTAAGTCAATCTTCCTGTCTCCTGCAAGTGCTTGTTTTCTCTTTCAAATGTTGATATTTCTGGGGGGCGGGCGGGTGTTTGGGGGGGCGCGTTGGACGGGCTGAGGAGCCCGGTTTCAAAAAGGTGGATAATGCCTTCCATCAGATCATCACTATCAACCAGATAGTGATTTATCCGTGGATCGCATTATCCTCTTTCCAAGATTTTAATTCACTATAATTTTCACTTTAATTTTTTTATTTTACTTTCTAGTAACAGTGTTGCTATTTCTCTGAAAAAAGGATCTTCATTTTTTTTTTTTTAAATTTCCGTTTCTCCTGGCATTTATTTTAAGCCTTTATTGATGTCATGAACCATGCAGCATCAATACCTTCAACAATATTATTTTTATAGCTGACTCACAAGCGTCCTTCCTCACATGTACTTGTAAGTTAGTGCAAAGTTGATTCAAGCTTAAAACACCAGGAAATATTTACAAGTTTACTTACATTAGTTCACAAATTCTGCCTTCAGAAGAGAATTACAAACAAAAGACCGATTATTCCTGCTGATATTCATAATATGTGATTAATCGTCCAAGGATCACAAAGATAAGTTTGTTCTCTCTATGTTTCATATGATGTAGGAATTAAGCAATAATTTCTTCCATAAATAAGTGCAATGTGCATCAAACTTGACTACCTGAACTTTTCCCTTTAAGTTTGTCTTGTGAAATGCAAAATGGCATTAACTAAGTAGACCATTCATTCAGCTTCTCGATTTTATGGAGAAGATTGTGGAGTGGCGTTAAATTGAGTGGAGTGTGGAAGTGTGAGTGTTCAGGCAGGCCCCCTTGGGATAAGGGAGAGAGAAACATAGTCTATCATTATGTATCTATTATTATTAATCACATACTGGTGCCTCCATAATGACAGCCAAATTAATTATCCCAGTGCGAGAGAGACAAAAAATAATTAAGTAGTTATTATTTATTATTAAATTCTCATTTATATGCATACTTATTATGCATACACATGAGAATAATTTAGACTCTACTAAGGCCCTGAGCTATCAAGCATAGATTTTGGCTGGCAATCTGGTCAGTAACCTTCCA